AGATATATATATAGATATATATAGATATATATATAGATATATATATATGTGTGTGTGTGTTTCATTGTTGAAAAGCTGTTCAAATGTTCTTAACCCTGAAAAAAAAAATTTCACACCTGCATTTTGTATCTTTTCATGCTTTTTCATCATTTAGAATTTAACTTCGACAAAGCATTCTTCAAACAGATACCACAGAGCTTAGTACATCTGAACAGCTGGTCAACAACAACCTATAGTGATCCCAATTTTGTCAGTCGCCTTGATTAGAGTTATGCGTGAGAGTTTGTTGTGGGAGGAAAATGCACAAACTTGCTTAGAGTTAGAGTCATTGGAGTGAGAGTTTTTTACTGGAGAAAATACCAAAGACGCATCAGTTAGACTGAGCGACTGCAGGGCAAGCTATTTGTTTAGATCTGAGCTTGTTTGTTCAAGAAATTGTTCCGATAATGATACACGTGTATCAGATGTATTTGTTGATTTTATTAATTAAACATTGGAAATTTTTTCTCCTTTCTGTGTGTCTTGGGTGTTCTTGAATGGGATGTAAGGAGCTGCATTTTGACACTGTAAACAAGATGTTTGCTTGTGATACATATAATATTATTATGTGTGTGTGTGTGTCTAAGAAAAGGGTCTGATGTCGCATCTTAATTAGAGAAAATGGAGAAAGGAGTGAAAAACGGAACGCCAATTTTTTTTCTAAACAATATATTTCTGAAAGCTTTTAAAAATAAATGCAATAACTCGGTCATCTCTGCACTAATTTCAATAAAATCTTTAAACAAATAAAATTTAACCAGGGGGACGTGAACTTTGTCAATCAATTTTTTAAAATTTCAACCAATACAATGTAAAATGCAAAATTCTACTTTTTAAAAGCGTTCAGCTAGAGGAGAATGATCGGCCCGGTCCGGTTTCAGAGCAAGGACGATAAAATCGTCACATGAGATAGATACAAATGTATCTTTCTGTGCTGAGAAAGTTTTGGAGAAGTTTGGGGAGTAGAATATGCTAAAGAAGCCTTGTTCCAGTGGGATGGGGCCACACCCCACACGTCAAGAATGTCCCTTGTATGGTTGTAAGAAAGGTTTGGGGAACACCTAAGGGCCCCTTTACACGTGCAGTTCATTCATCGACAAACTGGGGGCTCTCGTGGCCTACAGGTTAAGGTGTTGGCCTCTCATTCAAAGGTCCGAGCAACCGAAAAATTTTCTTCTCTAAATTTGTCTCCTTTCACCTCCTTTCCTGCTCTCAAACAATGTTCTGTCGTCTGCTTTCGTTTCCTCTTTTTGCCCCCACCCCCTCCTTACCTCCTTTGCCCCCTCCTCTGGGCTCCGGATTCTTTCTACAGCTAATCCTTGGCTTCTTCTGCCTGCTGTCTTTCAGCCACACCCCTGATCTTCTGGTAGGAAAGATCTATACCTAGCCTTCTCGGACAAGGGCGAAAAATCTCGGAGGTCCCTCCCGTATGCAAATGCGCATGTTAAAGATCCCTTGGTGGTCTAAAGTCGATAAGAGTAGGCTTCGGCCGCCACCCGCGAAAAATTCAAAATTTCCTACCGACTGAAAAAGTTAAATGTGTCGCGCGCGCTCATATGACCTTATGCTGTTGCGAGCCCCGTAAAACACTTGCAAAAACAAACAAATCGACCAACTGTAGAATACCGAAAGAATGGCGGAGATCCTGTCAACTTTTTGGTAAATTTGAGCGTGGAAACGAGCAATCCTTTCGATATCAAAGGGTTCTCAGTCCAGCCCCCAGATATCTGGCTAAGCCAGATATTTTCCAGCCGGCGAACAGAAGGCATGACGACGAGGGAGCGGCTTCTTTGATGTTGCCCCAAGGGGAGCTAAAATGCATTTCAAAAGTTTCCTAACTATTGGCCAGATTATTTTTTTCTTTAAAAGATTTTCGTGATCAGCAACCCAAAATATGTTAGATTCACGCGGAGAATGCATTTTAATACCTGTCTCACAGCGTGTAATTGGATTCTGCACAGGCCTACTCCTCTAATAGTCTATCTTTTTTTTCCTGCCTGTATTTCTGTGTGCGTCTGTCCATCCGTTTGGTTCTCTCTCTCTCTCTCTCTCTCTCTCTCTCTCTCTCTCTCTCTCTCTCTCTCTCTCTCTCTTCTCTCTCTCTCTCTCTCTCTCTCTCTCTCTCTCTCTCTCTCTCTCTCTCTCTCTCAAGTAATTTTCATTATAAACACTGTCAGTTTAACCATTGCTTGAACACTGTCACACTGAACATTAGTTGACTTATAGTCATCATTTAACTTGAAATGAGAGAATAGCAGAACTGAGGGAACATAGGTTTGTTAGGAAAAGTAGCTCTATATGTTCCCTCAAGTCAAGAGATAGGTCTATGTATTTATGCTCTGGAATATTCAGGG